ATGTCCTCTAAGGCCCAAACATAAGTTTGTGCTAGTTGTTTGTGATTTTTTATAAATGGTTGGGAGTAGCTATTTTCTTTTGTAAAGTTGTTGACTAGGGTTTCACCGGTCAAGGTATTAGGTTCGAAAGTGATTAGAGCATCATGAGTAAGTTTGCAATTGCAAATTATATGCAGATAAATTAGACTACACGTACAACTATACTAGCTTTATAATATTATTATTGAAATGACCAATTGATTGCATAATTAAAGCTAATAAAAAAACATAAAAATTGTAGAGGGGTAAACCCCCCAATAAACAAAACTCTCTAAATATCTACATTGTGGATACTATCATGTTATGCCATGAGAATAAGGATCTTCAATTTATAAATCTTTAAATTTTTCTTCAAAATAACGAATAAACTAAATATAGAAGAAGAAAAATTATTTTTCATTCAAAAAAATATTTATGCTAATGTTTTAGCTTTTCTTTAGGAAAAAATAAACTTCAAAAGTATAGGAAAATCAGGGCAAAATCCTAATACAAAAGTTTATTTTTTAGTAGAGGTATAATTGTTTATTTTTTTGGATTGCATGTGCTTGTCATGCGCATTAGCAAGTAGTTCAGCAGGGTCAACTCATGCCTAAGTTTTGACATCAGGACCAGTTGCTACCTCGAGTTTGGGGCGTGACACAAACCTTAAACAAAGTTGTGCTTAATAAGCTCTTTGGGCTTTATATGATTGATACAATCCGTTAAATAAATTATATCGTTCTCATTCACGAGGCAATGATTCACTAACCTTCTGATTGATGACATATATCATGCCTCTAAACTTTTTCGTCCTCCTGAATGAGAAGAATTTGTTGAGAAACCTGTTTGAAAAAATGTCACAAAAGATGATAGATCTTGTGATATCATTGCAATTATTGCTTGGCGTTTCGAATTAGCAAGAACGAAAATAGTGTCAATTTGACATACTTGTTTGAGACAATTTGATAATGGAAGTTTTTTATCAGTTCGACAAAACAAATGAGAATTTTATTTTAGAATCATGCTTTCAATTTCCATCACGTAAAAAACTTAAATAATATTTTGACAGTTCAAATTGACCTTCAAATTATTTAAATATGATTTCATAACTTTCGCTTAATTTTCCAATTTTTCTGATTTAAATTAAGAATTTAAAGATGAAAAATCAATAAATTATTGAGTAATGTGTAAATAATGATTTAAAAACCTATTCAATGAAGAAATCTCAGAACTTTGCTTTTGAAATGCCCGAAAATGTGTTTTGAAGCTCCCAAAATCGAGTTATGGAGTTATCGTACAAAATAGAATTTAAGTTCATAATTGTTCTTCACAATTGTGACTCCTAATGATTGCGACCAACCAATCCAGAAAGCGAAACAAAACTCAACTGGACCTAACTTGAACATTCAATCCTTCAAATTATGAGCTTACCTTCGTAATCACGATGACCCATCACCCTAGAACCACCCCATCCCCTCTTTATTCACGAATGTAAAGAAGGAATCAACTTGCACTAGATTAGAAAAACTTGTAGTTTAACCAACTTCTCAAATTCTTTTGATTGGACGCTAAGATTTGTTTAAAATCCCTCTGAACACAAATTAAATATACCATTAGAGTATAAACAGCATCCCGGACCTACTAAAATAATCAAAAAACCTATCTGAGGTTATTTTGACTGAATGTTGATAGAGGACAACATTCAAGTTAGAAAAGAATTAGAAATCCTCAAACTTTCGTGCAATGATTTAAAACTCATCCAAATGCACTGGGACCCAAACTAAAGTCTAACTTGCTAAAGTATCGCATTCCAAAATTAACTGAGTTGGTAGAATTCAATTTCGAGCTCATCTTCCACAAATGATGACCTTGGTCATTATTCCAACTTCCCAAAATAAAAACTCATTTGAATTATGTTTAATAACATGAGGAATCGTACCATACAAGACAAATATGTCATAATAAAGTTGTAAAAAAAGAGCGAAACAATAAAAATATGAAGTAAAAAAGACTATGAGGGTTATTACGATATGAATCCTGACATACATCTAGAGCTGTCTGCTAAGAGTATTCTTAGATTACAAGACAAACATATTGTTTTCGCACATATATTTATTAATGATATTTATCATTTTGATTTTCTGTTATTTCTTTAATAACAAAAGAATAAAGAAAATGTTAAACTACGTAAATTGAATAAAAATATCCTTAATTAATATTTGATTCAAAAATATCTTTATCGTTAATAATTTGGTTAATAAATTGTCTCTATTGATAATTGTTTAGCTGGAAATACCCTTGTTGTTACTTAATATGTCAAAAATGTCTTTTGCATAATAATATATTAATATATTTTTTTCCTACTAAAAATATTACTTTTAAAGAGCTCTATTTTTGCTTTTTTTTTCTTTTAAAAACCACTTCAACTAACAAGTAAGTAGGAAATTGTCACGATCCAAATCGGATCGCGACTGGAACCCACTCTTATCCTCCTATGTGAGCGAACCAACCAATCTAAACCTTAACATTTCAATGTAATATCAACATAAAGTAATGCGGAAGACTTAAACTCATTAATGAAAACCAATTCAATAACTATTATTTCCCAAAATCTGGAAGTCATCATCACAAGAACATCTACTTCAAATTACTAAATCTAAGAGTTTCTAAGAAGCTAAAAATACATAAAAGTTAGTCCAAGCCGGAACTTCAAAGCATCAAGACATGAAGAGGAAGATCCAGTCCAAACTAGAAGCATTAGCTCACCCTGATATCCGGAGTAATGAAGACTGGCTAGAGTTACTGTTGAGTCGAAGATGACGGCACGTTTGCTGCACTCCACAAATAAACAAGAAGAAAACATAAAAGTAGGAGTCAGTACAAAACACGGTACTGAGTAGATATCATCGACCAACTCAAAATAGAAATTAATATATACCAAGTAATATCATAAAATCAACTATGATACTCCACATGTAGCAACAGCAAGTACTATATCATTAACAATTACCGTCAAGTTCACACATGAGGACTCAAGCCTCAATACCATACTCATTTGGGAATTATGCTCATTAGATTGAGCATATTAACATCTTTC